GCTAGCTATTTAGCTAGCTAGCTAGCCAGCTGAGCCACCTCGTTGGCTAGCTAGCTAGCCAGCCCGTGCATCTCCTGCGCCCCAGCGCCCACCCGCCTCCCCGCAAACCCCAAACCCTAAACCCCAAACCCTAAACCCCAAACCCTAAACCCTAAACCCTACACGATCTCTCCGCGCGCGAGGGGGACCTTGAGCATTTGGCTGGCGTCCATGCTGCCCGCGGCCTTGCCGGCGCCAATGAGAGTGTGGATTTCGTCGACGAAGAGAATAACTTCTTCGACATTATTTTGCAAATAAGAAACCACTTCTTTCATTCTTTTTTCGAACTCTCCGCGCATGGCGGAGCCCGCGGAGAGCGAGAGCAGGTCCAGCGCGAAAATCCGCCGTTTCCGCAGCGATTCCGGGACCGCCCCCTGCGCAAACCACGATTTAGGGTTTAGGGTTTGCGGCTGCACGCCGCGCGCGGGCGCTCTGCGCGTTTTGGGGAGCCTCGCGGGGGCCGCCGTGGGTTTGGAGGCGGCTGGCGGCTGCTGGGTGGCGGTTTAGGGTTTGGGGTTTGGGGTTTAGGGTTTGGGGTTTGGGGTTTAGGGTTTGGGGTTAGGGTTTAGGGTTTTACCTCCACAATGCGCTGCGCCAAACCCTCGATCACTGCGGTCTTCCCCACGCCCGGCTCCCCCACCAACATGGGCGCCTTCGTCATCTTCCTGCTCAAGATCTGCAACAACCCCAAACCCCAAACCCCAAACCCTAAACCCTAAACCCTAAACCCTAAACCCCAAACCCCAAGCCCCAAACCCCAAACGCCGAAAAGCGCGCCCCCTCCCCTCCCCGCACCGAACCCGCCCTCCCCTCGCCCTGCGCCAACCCCAAAGCCCAAAGCCCAGACCCTAAGCCCCAAAGCCCAAACCCCAAACCCTAAACCCTAAACCCTAAACCCTCGCCTGGGCAATGCGGTCGATTTCTTCGTCTCTCCCAACCACCGGCGGCAGCAGCCCCTGCTGCGCCATGAAGGAAAGGTCCACTCCGTACTGCGAGACGAAGGCGTCGGAAGTTCCTTGTTTGTCTCCAACCATTTCTTGAAAAGAAGTTGGCGCCACGCCCCGCTGCCGCCCCTTGAACTGCTCCACTATCTCGCTGCACCGCAGCAGCAGCAGCAGCAGCAGCAGCAGCAGC